ACCCACCTACAACCCCACTAACTCTCTCTCTCCCTCAATTACACCCCAAATCACAACCACACATACACTCACCCTCCTTTCACATCGTACCTTCAGACACCACCAATTCAACCGCCGTCCGCCGTCAATCGCCCGCCGCCCGTCACCCGGACGAACATCACCGTCGCCTGCCGGACGCACACCACTTCAAACACCGCCGGACACCACCATTTGCAGCCTATTGGATTCTGACCGTCGAACCGTCGCCACCGCCATACCCTGCAACTGCTGAACCCCGGACCAGGTCTCGTTGCCGTTGCCGTCGGAATCATCGCGAAGTTGGCCGCCTCTGCAACCATGACATCGCAGTGTTAAATTTTCGAGTTTCGGCAGACATGTTGTTCGAAGCCACTGTCCAGCAGCGGTCTCTTCGCCGTGTTCTGGGAGCTCCATGGTCGTAGGGGCGGGGCGAGGAAGTTGTGTAAGATGATGATGTGGTCACGATGAGCAGCTTTGAACGGACGGGATCTACAATTGCAGCTGGAGATGGTGTCGCCGTGTCGGAATCGGGGTCGGACGTGGTGAATGTGAGCAGCTACACAGTGGTCGACGGCGAGATTGATGGAGTCGAGTGCCATCGTCGAGGGTTCGACGGCGATTAACGACGATGAATAGCAGGGCTGTAGGTGATAAATAGCAGGTGCATAGGACGAATTGTACAAATCTTAGATTGGGTCATAGTTTTGAAAATTAGACATGGTGAGGGCACTTATATGCAATTTTGAACTTTTAATATACTTACAATTTAGCACTTAGGCCAATATGTAATATAATAAAAGTTAAATAAATGCACAATAATTATGAATAAGATGCACAATATTGCTTGGGAACATGCACAATAAAAAAATAATATTTTTACATAATAATAATAATAAAAGATAATAGATTTTTCTTTTTTTTTTTTGTTATCTAAATAAAATCAAAGAAAACGTCGAAAATTAATTGACATAATCAAGTTTTTTAATGTGATAAATGTTCACAACTGAACCGAAATTTTAAAATTCAAAATGAAAAGGTTGGTTTCGACATAAACGGTTAATTTTTCGGTTAACATAAATAAACGAAATAACTGAAATAAATTATATTATTTTTTATAAATGAAATCATGATTAGTATTTAATACTTTTTTTTTTACATTTTATATTATTTTTGAATTAAAAAATTGTATATACGTAAACGAAATATACAGTTCATTCTAATAATTATTAAGGTGCAATTCGTACATCACTATGGTGCACAGTGTCGGTATGTGTTGTGCAAATTGAACCAACCGATCTTTTGTCCCAAATCAAATTGAAAATGAACATAAATATTTAGTTTATTCGGTTCGGTTAATGGAATTATCATATTATATTAAAATTATATTTATGTTAATAATTTTATTTATTATTTCTATATATTTTTTGTGGAAAAAATTAAATTCGGTCAGTTTCGATCTTTACTGTGCAATCGGATAGTCGTGATAAAGTGCAATAAGTTGTTTTCTAAGGTGCAACGTGTTGTTTTATAAAGTGCAACATGTTGATGTATAAAAGGTACTACTATAATTTTGGTACGTTAGTATGCTTGTGTTTTTGTGAATAAGTGATTTTATTGATTTTAAAGTATGATATATATTTGTGTCTTAGATTTATTATGTTGTATTTTGGATGGATCTGTTAACGTTAATCGTGGAGCGTGTTGATAAAGTGCAACGTGTTGTTTGATAAAATGCAATGAAATGTTTATAAAGTGCAACATGTTGATATATAAAGTGTCCTACTTTATATGGGCAACTATAAAGTTTGTGTCTTGAAAACTATAGTTAGTAGAAATAATTGTGCATCGAATTAACCTAAATAATTGAAATAATTTTTTATTTATTGTTATGAAAGTATATCTATTATTGTAATATTTTTTATATATTAAAAATTTTGAATGTCCAAAATTTATCAAAATTTTTACATTATAAAAAATATCTTTAATATTTATGATGTTTGTTGAGAAACAATAATATGCTCTTTTGCCATTCGATTAGTCAATATAAACTTCTTAATGAATTATATGTATATTATGAAACATTTAGCATCAAATTTTTTTATTTAATAATTTATATTAATAAACTATTTTTTTGTAATATTAATAAGATATTTTGGCCAAGTAGCTCTACTAATATTGCACCGCGCTCGCAAATCTTGGATCCGTCCTTGCTTGATTATGCTATGAATATATCTTTTCTTTATATTATTTTTTATACTATTTTTTAATGTATAAAACCTTATGTTATTTTTTTAAGTATAATGTTTTGTTTAGAAATTTATATATATGTTGAAAATTATAATGAGTCCAATTAACACCATCTGCTTTGAATTTATTTATTTTTTAAAAAATCCACTAATGATAAAAAAAATTCCAAAACCCACATCAAAATGCAACTGAAAGCAATATGAGAAAGTCACGGTGGCGAAACTACCGAAAGTTCACTATTTCCGCTAGATACACTTTTTTTTATCTAATTGCAATCAAGTCCTTGCAATTTATCTAATTTTCAAACAAAAAGCCCTAATAAAAATTCATTTTCCCCTACCACCACCACCGTGCGTCAGAAACTCTCCGGCCGGCATCCGGTGTCGCCGTCTTCATAGGATTTGCCGTTCACCATGTAATTCCCCCCGCTGCAATGTTGGATATGATGTTTAAAAAAAAAAAATCCGCCATTAATGTCCGTGTTCTATTATATGTCGATTTTTTCTAGAACAATTGAAGGGCGGATCTTGCGGGCTACTCCAACGACGGGCTTGTCGGTGTTCCCGTTCCCGTCTCGTGGTGCTTCCGGCGTTTGTTGGGCCGATTAGGATAGTAGCTGCCGACCAACAGCGACGGTGGAGTCAATTCGGTCGGCCGCCGACGATCAACGGCACGGCGGCGATATTCAGATTCCACCCCGCAGATACAGTGAGAAAAAAAAGAGAGCAGGCCTGCCTGTTTTGGGAGGAGAGAGCGAGATAATTGAGGCGAGTGGGTTGTGAGAGAGAGAACCGAGGAGTCAGCGTTAGAATGGGATGTGTTGGGTGGGACTCACTGGTGGTTGGTTGAAAGAATGTCTAAATTAACCTTACTGGGTATAAATATTTGGTTTTATTTGTGCCATTGGATCATCCGATCCAATGGCTCCGATTTATTCTCATTTCTTTCATTGAGAATCATTCTCATGTGAACCCAATCCTCTATATATATATATATATATATTTAAAAAAAAATGAGGGGAGTTCTATGGCTCCATCACTGGTTGCAACTTAATCAACCATGGTTGCAACTTAATCAACCATGTAACTGAAGATTATATACACATGAGAGTTTCAACTTAATCAAGAGTGAGAGGACATTATTTGATTTCAACATTGTTTTTCTTAGTCATCAATACTAGTAGAGCCTTCAAAATTTCAAACATATTGTTTGTTAGGATTCTAACACACATATATGTTACTTTTGCGAAATGCAATCCTGTTACAGAAGCATTCAGTGGGAGTCTGTAACCGTTAGATCATGTAAGCATCGGGGATAGTTTATCGAATTACGGTTACAAACCCCGAGGGAATGGTTCCGAAACAAAACCGTAGCATCTCCTGTTACGGACGAATATACATTATCACTACGTATCCCGCCAGGTACTTTTTTTTTTTTTTTTTAATATCAAAATCTTAAACGTTTAATTTCACCTTATCTTAAAATTAATGCAGATTAGACGTATGACTGTGTGAGTTAATTCAACCCAAGTCATCGCTCATTAATTAATATATGTATTTTTCATTTTCGAAACACAGACTTAAAATAGGGAGATTCTACGTCCAATTACGAAACTATTCCGTCGAAGTTTGTAACCGTTAGATCAAGTATCCACGACGGTTACATGATGATCTGACGATTACAAATCCCAACGGAATGGTTCCATAACGGGACAGTAGTATTTCCCCTTGTAATAAGGACAAAAAAAAAAAGAAGCGATATCATTATTAAGCATGCATGCACAACAAACAGTAGTGGGCCGGGCCGAGGACGTTTTTATTAATAATTCATGCAGGCTGCATGTAGGGCAGTCATCAAGCCCGACCCGCGTTTATTTATTAGAGACTAGACTAGACTAGACTAGACTAGACTAGACTGAAAAGAGATTAAGACCGCGCAGCTGGATTTCGCAGGATTGAGGTGGGATACGGCACAAGCTGGTCAAACTCTGCGCGGTTCTCAGCATCTCTTGCTTCTCTCTTCCCTGTGCCATTTGCTGTTGAGCCACCAACTGTTCCCATTCATTTACTTACCTTAGTACTTGTTAATTGAAATAACACATGCATGTTTATATTCAAATTCAATACAACAAAAGAGTACCTGGCTTAGTGCTTGGCACCTGCATTGCTCGTTAATCTGCTCCAGCTCCTCACAGCACCTGGGAAACTCCTCTCGCCACCCGTTTTCCGACACATCAAGTCGGCTGCTATCTCTGAGGTACTCACGGCAGGAACTCAGCCTCTGACTCTTGATTTCCTCACCGCATGAACCCAATACCTTCACGGCTGAGACCACCGCCAGGAGAAGCAACAGGGTGGCCGTTAGCGCTGTGAACCTCCTCATCTTTTAACTAATTACTAAGCTCACCGCCAGATAGATTAACTAAATAATGATGAGAGGGATATGCATGCGTCAATATATAAAAGGTGCATGTTGCGCACGTGGTGTAAGAGAAAGAGTTGTTCTTGTTTGGAGGTATTGGCCAGGTGGAGGAGTGGAGCTTTGCATGCTGCTCACGTCTCCCATTCCTACTTACACGTACACATTTTATTTGAAATTATGTGCATGTCATCTACTCATATACACTTAGAAATTGTTTCCAAAAATAATGTTTTTACCATGAAATATCAAAGTCTTATTAATGCTTTGAGTAAGAATTAAAGGTCATATTAATAATATCAAGCTTAATAAAATCAGTTATAAATATATATTCTACTTTTTAAAGGGGCAGACGAAGACTTATATGGCAACGGGGCACAACCTTCGGTAAACAGTAAACCTCGACGGTTAACCGTCAACCCCATATATCAATGATCAAATCAATATTAATAGTCAACAACCACTTAAAAAAATAAAAAGATTAAATATTTGACCAGACACTTTATTCCCTATTTAATAGTTGGGTTAAATTTCACATCCCCATTTTAAATAATAGGAATGCAATTGATTAAATCTCTATATGGTATATACATTTATGTATTTTGTGTTGGAAAATGAAATAAATAAGAAATTAAGTACATTATAAGCGTAAATTCTACAACTTGAAAAATAACATATTGTTGAAGGTTAAATAATTCTAAACATTTATTTTTTTATATATATTAAAATAACTTTACATTATAATTAATAAAATATATTTTTAAGTCAAAATAATAATACATATGTACATATCACACATACATACTATATTACTGAAAAAAATTCTACAGGGCCCGTGCCCCTACGGGCCCCTATCGAAATCCGCCACTGACTTTATATAACTAGTAAAGTGCACATGTTATGCACATGATACATAATTCATATGTTAATGTGATTTTTAGGTTATATTTTATGTTTATTCAATTAAAATAAATTATAGAAAAATATAAAAAAATTACAGTTAAAATAATAATACCTATTTTATTTATTTTAGATCATTCTTATATTTTATTATTTATAATTTATATTAGTTCCATATTTTTTGATTTCATTGATCATTTTATTTTATCTTAGTTAACGGAATTTATTTATTTTGTTTAACTTAAGACAATGAAATAAAATTTAAATTAAATTTAATGAATAAAATTTAGAAATTAAATATATTTATTTACAATTAAAATAATTTACTAAAAAAATATAATTTATTTCAATTTTTTTCATTCATAATGTATGTAAAAGCAAATCATAATACGAGTATTTGATATATTGTTTATTTTATTATATTAATTTTAAGATTTTTATTTACTTTAATTTATTATTTCCTAATAAGTTATTTGATATATTATTTTATTTACTTTAACATTTTTACACTTTATAATCCTATAGGATTATTATTTTTATTACTTTATTTTAATTTTATTTCAAATTATTTATTTAAACTTAAAATCATTTACTAAAATTTTATAATAATTTATTTATATTTTTTTTCATTCTTTATGTAAGAGTAGATACTATTGCAAGTATTTGATAAATTATTTTTTTATTTTATTATATTAATTTAAGATTTTTGTTTATTTTAATTTCTTATTTCACACCGTTTATTTGATTTTTATTTTATTTTGCTTTACCACTTTTATACTTTATCCTATATTACAATTATTTCTATTTTATTTTAATTATTTTATATTAATTTTATTTATTTTTGAGGTTAATTATTTTTATTATTATTTGCATGTTAGAATTTATATAGGAAATTTATTTTAATAAATAAATATAAATTTATTTAATTTTAATTCACGTTACTATATTAAATTTTGTGTTACTTTATTTTAATTTTTTTTCATTCTTTTTATGTTTAATTTATATTATTTCAAGTTATTATTATTATTATTATTATTATTATTATTATTATTATTATTATTATTATTATAAATATTTGTTTGTGAAATACATACTCGGGCTCCTTCAACTCGAACGGCCTCCGTACCTGCAAGAACCCAACGTCGGAAGGGTCCCGACGTCAGGCCTAGAGTGTTCGTCGGTCGGTTCGGTCGACCGAACGAACCGAACTACGAAAACTGAATTAATCGAATTGTCAAATTGTAGAAACCGAACCGACTGAATTAAGTGCCTAAACCGAATTTAGCCCAAACTGGACTGTTCGGTCGGTTCAGTCGGTTAACCGAATTTTTACAAAAAAAAAAAAAAAAAATATATTTTTTTTAGGATTGTTTATTGGGCCCAAACACAATTATCCATACAACAATCTAGAAACATATCCAAATTTCAATTCCAAATCCAACAAGTCCAAGTCCAAGCTAAAAATATAAAAAATAACACACAAAACAAGTCTATAAAAGGCCCAGATCCAGTTGACGGTAGAGTCGATGTCTCCTTTGAAGCCTTATCCACCAGTCCCGTGCTTCCGTCCATTTTTTCTTGGCTTGACATCTACAGTCCAAGTTTTTTGAATTTAAGAAGTCAACACAAATACAATGTACATGGAGCACAAATCAATATAAATAAGAGCTTGATGTAAAAATTTAAGAAGGCAAATTGTTACAAACTTACAATTTATCTAATAATTTTGGTACATTCAAACTGTTATCATTCTTCATGCATATGTCAGTGGACATTCAAACTGTTACAATTTAGCTAATAAATTTGGGCTTTTATTTTGGTAAATCCAAATATTCTTCAAATAAAAAATTTTACAAATATTGTTAAGTAATACTTTGACAAGAATCAAAAAAACAAAAAGTAACACATACGATCGAAATTCTCAATTCTCAGAACTCACATGAATTAAAAAAATCTCAATTCTCACAAGTAACACATACGACTTTTATTGAATCCTTGATTAATAGAATCAAAAAGTAACACATGAAAATTCTCAATTCTCACAAACATACAACTCTCAAGAACAGATCAATCTTGTATTATCTTATTACAATTTGTTAATTTGAGATTTATGACTTTAGAAAATAAAAAACAAAAAAAATACTTACAGTCGTGTGTGTGCTTGGCGAGTCGACGACCGGTGACCACGAGCTCCTTGACGGGGACCGAGGGTCGAACTACACGCAGACGAGAGATGGGGGATGATATTTTGCTGACCAGATGATTCGGGGGATGCCGGGAATGGTTCTGATTGGAGCGATTTAGGGTAGTCTGTGGAGGAGCAGCGGCGGAGGAGCAGTGGCTAGGGATGTACGGGAGGAGGAAAAAAAACTTCAGCGGCAGAGGATTTGAGGAGCAGCGGGTGTTTCTGAAATGAGGAGTGAATTGAGTGAGGAGGATTAGGGTTATTGACTAAAGTATAATATTAAAATATTATATCATAAATTTATAATATATAATATGATATTACTCGGTCGGTTCGGTTATTTCGGACATTTTGTGTCCGAAAATCGACATCGACCGAAATAACCGAAAATTCACAAATTGAAAACCGACTACCGACCGAGTCGGATAAAAACTGAATCGAAATCGTTGGTTCAGCCGGTTTCGGTCGGTTCGGTCGATTTCAGTCGAATTTTGCACACCCCTAGTCGGGCCTCCGACGCTCAAGTCAATATCATTCCAAAACTCCAAATTCCAAGAGAGTAATTATGAATCTAGAGAGGGTGAGTTTTCGAGATACCTTAGCCACTTTTATAGAGGAAGTGTACCTTGTGGCCTAAGATGGGCTTGACCCATATGATTATGTCATGTGTCTTAGCCCATATGTGGGCTTATTCTTCAATATATTCCCTATTGTTTATTAAATCTGATCCTGTATAATATCCTATAGCATCTAGTCCCCCCCACTCTGGTCGAGTAAGCATGACTCGATCCAAGAGTGAAATTACTCTTCGGTTGTTTCCGTCAACCTGCCACTGAGGTTATAGTTAATAAATCCTCGACCACTGAATAATCACCAAACCTCCAAATAAACATCGAGACCCCAAATGAACACCAATGACCTAAGGTCAAAAACCGCGAGACCTGCCTCTGAGGTCGAACACCAAAAGACCTACCACTGAGGTCCAAAATCGAATGACCTACCACTGAGGTCGAGAACCGAATAATCTGCCTCTGAGATCGAACACCAAATGACCACTGACGTCGAAAATCGAGTGACCCACCACTGGGGTCAAACACCGACAACCGAATGAACATTGAGGTTGAAAATCGAGCGACCCACCACTAGGTCGAACACCCAAAGCTGAACGACCACTTATGTCGATAACCGAATGACCGCCACTGGGGCCGACCACCAAAATTTGAACGACCACTGAGGTCAAAAACCGAATGACCCGCCACTGTGGTCGAACCTTGATTCCTGGAGTAGATTATTATGCTCCTCATTCTGTAATGTCCATCTTCTTTTGCTATCTCTCGACCTGGTTACTTGGATTTCCATGATACTTTGATAGACTTTCTCAATCTCTCCCCGAAGTCTTCAATTTGAAAATTTGAACTCACGCCTGCTTTCCTTGACCACATCGTTCGAGCTCTCTTCGCTCAAAGATAACCTTTTCTTCCACCTCGTTATATCATCGCCCCTCAGTTTAAAATTTGAAATTCAACCCTACTGTTTATTCTCTCGAGAATCGAATGTCCTGACACCACATTGAAGTCGAAAAATCGAATTCGACCAAACCAAACCAAATAAAGTCATCTATCTGAATAACCTGACTCCGTGAACTGTTCCAAGAGTGAACTCCCTCGACCCGCCATTGAAGTCGAACAATAAATCCGATAAACCTGGGTCAAGTAAGAATTATCGACCTGCCTCTGAAGACCTAGAATAAGCTCCTTGAATCGCTTCAAATGAACTCCATCGACCTGCCACTAAGATCTGTCTCCGAGGTCTTCGATAGGCTCCGTATCTTCAACGACCCAATGTTAGGATCGACCACCCAGCTCGAAGGCCTTAATCA